TATCTGACAAAAAAATACTTTCCGAATAACAGCTTCAGAAGTCGTGCAATTTATAGTATACAGAAAAATATTACGCGTATTCTGAGGGGGGCGCAATTCCATTCGCGACAAAAACTGCTCGGGGTAAACGGAGCAACAAAACAAAAGCGACCCCTGCCACTTCATATATCTTCTATCCGGGTTACAAATTAGAACTGGAGTTTGCGTATACGTCAGAGAGGACATCTGTTTTCGACGCCTAGGTAGTCTTGAAGGTTTCGATCGGACCCGTCCATCCTATGGCTGCGCGTAAACAGAGACGACCATCCCCTCATCTACGGGTGCTTCTATAGGTCCTATAGCGATGATACCGAAACGACCGACTCATCGACCACGTCCAAATGACTCAAACTCCGTGCTATAGTAGATCCCATCCGCAGAGATCGTGCTACTTTTAACACCTACCACGCCGAATGACTCGATTCACGTTTAACCGATCATACGGGGAGATCTGTTTATGACTTTGCTTTGGCATATGGTCTGACACAACTGATTACTTCGGCTACAGATGCCAGATGTGGAAGATTATACACCTTTCCTGTTTGACCTTCTGTTGTCCTCTCATCCGGATGGATATCACGTTTCCGTCGACACCCCTTTAGGCTCGTCGGACTATTGTCCGGAGTGTGGTGCAAATCACATTAACGTCGCGGTTACATTCTACAGGCTGCCGCCGTGTTTGGCACTATAGGTCTACTGATTGGGATAGGATGCGGTCTTTTTTGTATCCTAACCTTGGTTTTGCTTCTCGCCGGGCGGTCCTACCGTTGTTGCTGATTCTATCGCTGATGTGGTAGTTCAGGGTATGGAATTTTTATTCCGTCCTCTGTGGTGCCCATCGGAGGCGGATCCCAGCCATGATTTCGTCGCTCTTGTAAAATAGTGCTACCGGGCCTGGGCTGATGCATCAACGTATCGAAATTTAAATACCAGCGCTCTTAAAAAGAAGTACAATTCCGTCTCCAGGTCCTTTAAAAGGGTCATTGCTAAGGCAAGGTCTGAGCCACAAATGGCAAGAACTACCTTCCTTCGGGACCCCCTGGTCTCTTACCAAGGCTGTCCAAGGGAACTTCTGTCAGTCATCTCTTCTATCTCTACACATAGAGGACGACTCACTGGCCCATACAGTTTCTGTCATGGTCGATCAACTGGTGATCTTCTGGTCTACCTTACTCATAGATAGGCAGAGGCAATAAAGTCTAAGTGGGAGGCATTGGCCTTTAGTTTTCACATAGCAAAGGCCTTCGATTATGTCTGGTACAAAGGGCTTCCTTGAAGCCTTCCTTGGGCTTCCCGAGAAATCGTGCGGTTGGATCATCAATTTCTTGCTAATCGGAGGATCAAGGTCGTAGTATACGGTGCATGCTCTGATTACAAGCCTGTTAACGCTGGTGTTTTACAAGACCGCGTGCTATCACTAACGCTGTCTGCATACAATGATATGTTGCAAACCGGCAACATTCATTGCTATGCAGATGACAGATGATGCTCTGTACAACGGCCGAGCCAATATTTCTCGGAAAAACGTCGACGAGTACAGGGACAAACTTGTGTCTGATGTCGATGCTTTGCTTAACAAAGTCTCGGATTGGGGATGACTAAATCTAGTCCAATTCATTCCCCACAAGACACAATTTTTCGCGTTAACCGCTAAAAAGAACCCCTTTGTCGTATCTTCTCAGTTTGAAGGCACTCCCCTGGCTACCTCAGCTAGCATCGAAATCCTTCATCATCATTACAGCCCTTCACAAGTCCACTGCTGAACATAGGCCTCCCCCAAGTAATGCCACAAAGCACGGTCCTGAGCCACCTGCATCCATCGACTTCCTGCATGTCTTACCAGGTCGTCACTCCATCTAGTGGGGGGTCGCCCTACACTACGCCTACCGGTACGAGGCTGCCACTCGAGAACCTTTCTTCCCCATCGGTTATCGGTTCTTCGAGCTATATGGCCGGCCCATTGCCACTTCAGCTTACTAATCCGTTGGGCTATGTCGATCACTCTGGTTTTACTGCGGATATCCTCATTTCTGAGTCTATCACGCAGAGAAACTCCAAGCATAGCCTCCATAGCTCGCTGAGCGACCTTAAGCGTCCTCATACGGCCAGCAGTGAAGGACCACGTCTCAGATCCGTAAGTCATCACTGGCAACACGCACTGGTTGTACAATCTAGTTTTTAGAGATTGAGGTATACCTGACGAAAAGATATGTCGTAATTTCCCGAACGCTGCCCAGCCGAGTTGAATCCGTCGATTGACCTCTCGGTCGAAGTTGGACTTACCTAGTCGGACTATTTGTCCCAGGTAAACGTACTCGTCAACAACTTCGAGCATAGTGCTCCCAACAACTACTGGCATAGGTGTGACATGGACATTAAACATGATCTTTGTTTTGTCCATGTTCATCTTAAGACCTATCCGTTGGGAGGCACTATTGAGGTCATTGAGCATAATGCTTAAGTCCTCCAGCGATTCTGCCATAATGACTATATCGTCGGCAAATCGAAGGTGAGTGATGTACTCGCCATTGATGTTAATACCGTATCCTTTCCAGTCCAGTAGCTTGAAAACGTCTTCCAACGCAGCGGTGAAGAGTTTCGGGGATATAACATCACCCTGTCTTACACCTCTCTGCAGTTGGATAGGTTTCGAACTCTGGTTCTGTACTCGGATAGCCATCGTAGCCCTACTGTACAAACACTTCAGCACTTCGATGTACCGACAGTCAACTTGGCACCGCTGAAGGGACTGTAGCACCGCCCAAATTTCGACGGAATCAAAGGCTTTCTCATAGTCCACATATGCCAGGCAAAGTGGCAGATTATACTCTTCGGTCTTCTGTACAATCTGCCGCAGGGTATGTATGTGGTCTATGGTACTGAAGCCTTTTCGGAAACCGGCTTGTTCGGGAGGCTGGAAGTAGTCGAGTCTGCGTGCGAGACGATTCGTAATGACTCTCGAAAACAGCACGTAGACGCGGCTCAGAAGGGAAATCGGTAGTAGTAGTTCTTCAAGAGAGCGTTGTCGCCTTTCTTAAAGAACAAGACCACCGCACTTCTGCTCCACGCCTCTGAAGTAGTGCCACCATAGAGGACGGAATTGAAGAGCTTCTGAAGGACTTCAAGTACCGGTTTTCCACCCGCTTTCAGAAGCTCCGCTGTAATTCCATCCTCGCCTGGGGCCCTGCCGTTTTTAAGGTGCTGGAGAGCCATTCTAATCTCGCTTAGACTGACGTCCGGGATATCATCGGAATAGTGTCGGATAAGACTTGCTCTTGGATCGTTACTCACACTTGCGTGTGGCTCCAACGATGATGTGTACAGCTGCCCATAGAACCTCTCAATCTCACTCAAAATCTCAGGTGTCCCGGAAACGATGCTGCCACACTCAGTCTTCAGCCTTGACAGTTGGCTCTTACGGGCAGACAGATCTCTGGCAAAGACTTTGGAGCCCTGGTTCCGCTCGATCGCTTCTTTAATACGAGCAGTATTAAAGTTGCGTAAGTCTCGCCGCATGCATTTGGAGATCTGTCTGTTCAGTTGCCTGTATGCTGTCAAATCTGTTGACGATTGCAGCCTCATCTCCCGTCTAACAGCCATGAGATTAAGAGTGTGATCGGAGAGTTTTTGTGTTCTTCTGCGGCGGGTCTTGCAGAACTTAGCTCCGACCACATGGACAGTTTCCACGAGCTTGTCGTTCATATCGTCCACTGCATTGCAATCTTCTAGGCACTGGAAGCGGTTACGTAACTCGAGCTGAAAGGTTTCGGGATTCTGGATTAGAGCACGAGGGGGACGGAGCGTTGACTTCATTAGACGAGACCTCTCCAACTTAACGTTTAGGTTCAGTGTGCCTCTAACCATTCGGTGATCGCTGCCAGTTTTCACCCTTGCGATCACTGAGACATCACTGAACAGTTGGCGTCTGGTCGTCATAATGAAGTCAATCTCATTTTTTGTCGAACCATCGGGGCTCGACCAGGTCCACTTCCTGTGGGGCCGCTTCTGGAAGAAAGAGTTCATCATAAAGAGTCCCTCTTTCTCCATAAAGTCGGCCAGCTGCTGGCCCCTTCGGTTCCGTTGCCCTACTCCAAATTTCCCTACCTTCAGCTCACCGCTTTCTCTTGTGCCTAGTTTTGCGTTGAAGTCTCCCATCAGCACCGTGTAGTGGGTTTTGGAGGAATGTATATTTCCTTGGCTACGATATATCAAATAGTGTTCTGTTTTGGGGTCACTTGGAGGGGAAGGTCAAATTGGCCTCTAAAAAGTTTGGCGTACTCAGCAAGGCGAGACAGTATTTCATGCCAGCACATCGCTTGCAATATTACAAAGCGCAAGTTCGGCCTTACATGGAATACTGTTACCATCTCTGGGCCGGGGCACCTCAGTGCTAGCTCCTGCCACTTGACAGTATCCAGCGCAGAAATATTCGAATCTTTCTGTCGACGACAGAGTTCTTTCTGATCGGCTCGATTCACTGGTGCTGCGTAGGGATGTTGCATCCCTTTGCGTTATCTATTGTAGCTACCATGGGGAGTGTTCTGAGGAATTGTTCGGATTAGTTCCAGCCACCAAAAATCACGAACGCACATCGCGTCTAAATTCACGATACCATCCTCACTATCTGGATGCTTGGTGGTCGACCACTGTGCATTTTATTAGGAGTTTTCTTCCTCGTACGACCTCTCTGTGGAATTGTTTACCACCGGCGACTATTCCAGACCGATACGACTTAGGGACCTTCAAGAAAAGAGCTTACTCCTTTCTAAAAAGCCGGCAACGCACCTGCAATTCCTCTGGTGTTGCGGTTGTTCATGGGCGGCGGTAGTCACTTACCATTAGGTGAGCCGCATCCTCGTGTGTCCCCTCTTCTATAAAAAAAAACCATTTCAAGAGGCACTAGAGCAAAACAAGGGTCCCAAAGTCGTTGCTCGGAGGCTCGGGAGTAGCTACGTTACAAAATGAAGTCATTTGATGGAAAAACCCTTACGTCGAAGCCTGAGATTCTCGCTGAGATCGAAGGCTACTACGGAACACTGTCCTACAAAAATCAGCAACCTGACCCCGAATACGATGATCCCACAGCTATATTAACCCGCTACTTTACCGAAGAGCTGCCAGATATCTGTCTGGACGAGATCGAGTTGGCCCTCGAGCAACTTAAGCTCTTGAAAACGGGCAACCACTGCTAAAATAGCTCTGTCAAATTTTTTACCGCGTTTTACGAGATGGGAAGCATTGTGGCCGTGGAAGATCTCCCGCCGGGCAAGGTGTTCTGCCCGGGGAGCGGCCAACACTCCGTGTGATAGTTCGGAGATGTTCTATATATGCTGTTTATGATTCGGAATGTTGATAGCGTGATTTAGGCTTCGGTGTGTTTCGTTTGTGGCGCGACGACAGCGCCGCTACATCACCCCCCTGCGCAGACCGGAGGTCGATAGTGCAGCCTCGTTGACGACGAATGTGCAAGTGCCAGGAGATTGCCTTGTAGTCTGCGGTGAGTCGAGAAGAAGGCAAGTAATCTGCGATAGTGCCGTAAAGCAGAGGCGAGCAGTAAGGCTCAGAGCCTTGCTGAACACTGTAGCTCAGAGTGTAGCTTGAAGGAACAGGAAGCATTATTATTCCAGTGCTGCGATGAACCTTGTGAAGCTAGATGACTTGCAGGATGTGAAGACTGCAGACGATATCTGCTCGGTAGCGAATGGGTGGGGGGGGTTATTCTACGACGATGATGAAGCCTGAAGTTTCCGAAGGTTGTTGGTTGCGTGTTCAAATCACGTCGGGGTCACCACTGTGGCCGTGGAAGGAAAATGGGAGATCTCCCGCCGGGCAAGGTGTTCTGCCCGGGGAGCGGCCAACACTCCGTGTGATAGTTCGGAGATGTTCTATATATACTGTTTATGATTCGGAATGTTGATAGCGTGATTTAGGCTTCGGTGTGTTTCCTTTGTGGCGCGACGACAGCGCCGCTACAGCATCAAAATCTTGTTTTACAAGAAAGGTGACAAGAAAATGTTAAATAATTATCGGGTCATCTCGCTTCTGAGCCACGTCTATTTTTGTTTTGGAGAGTCAGTTCGCGTATGAAATTAAATGAGACGAAAGTCATATCTAACAGTCCTCTCATATCAGATCAGCGTTGATGGTGAAATTCTTGAAGTTGTCCAAGAGTATATCTACTTCAGCCAGATAATGCAGATAGACTAAAACAAATTCGAGGAAGGAGCCTCGGTCAGGTCATCTCGTTGCCCATACCGTAAAACTAGAAGACGAAAGTTTTTAATCAGTGCGTCCTGCCAGTACTCATGTATGGTGCCAAAACATGGACGCTAAAGGTACGACTACTTCACAATCTCAAAGTAACCCAGCGGGCGATGGAAAGAGCTATCCTCGGAGTTTCTCTGATGAATGAGATTCTTAACGAAGAAATCTGCCGGAGAACCATGATCACGTCTGTCGCAGAAGGGATAACCGTTGGAGTGGAGACCACGTGTAATTAAACATAGTGTGGGACGCTCGCTGGCTAGATGGAATGACGATCTGCGCAAGGCGGCTGGCAGCAACTTGATGCGTGAAGCCGAAGATCGGGGTATGTCAAGCAGTGCAGTCCACTGCTACGGGTTGATGATAGAATGAATATAAATATAATGAAATTAAAAGTATAAGACTTTTCTACACACATCCCACACCCAACGGGGTAGCCAGAGAGAAAGATCATTAATCCTTACATACCTCTTTCATAAATTAAATAATTTAAATAAGATCTAGCGAAGGTTATTACACAAAATACCTTTCGTGAAAATATTATCACAAAACCAGATGAACTTTTTGAAACGCCTTATTCAAGTACGTCTCCAAATAAATTCAACGCAAATTTTTTACCAATCTCGCGTTTGAAATAGGGTAGTAGCGTTTTGGGGTAGTAGACTATGGGTCACAGCATTCACTTACAATCGATAGTGTCACCTCTATTCTACAAAAAATGTAATGTAATTGAATGACTAACTTTTTATCTACTTCTAGACATTTAAATAATCTGAAACAGATTATGATCAATGCGTGCTACATCTTTTAAACTCTCATCATCATCATCATCATCATTACCTTTACAGCCTATCAAAGTCTACTGATGAACATAAGCCTTCCCACAGATTTCTTCATAAATTGTTATATTTGCCATATTCGCGATGCTTGGTAGGCGGGTGGCTACGGAAGTTTTTTATTTTCTAGTTGTTGTAAGGGAGAGGATGCTACCCGTCTCCATGTACGTCTCCGTCTGTCGGTATGGGGTAGTCGATACTCTTACACCGCCAAAACACGTTCTATTTTCAAATATTATTTAAATATATTCTCAAACAATAAAAAATCATGACGTAATGTTCAAATGAAATAAGGTTTCCCTTAAATACACTCCCAGCTTTTGCTTAACCTACGTGAGGAAAATTCAGAGCAACTCTCAAATAATAGTTTGAAGAAAAGTGAAGGAAACAATTTGCGGCAAAAGTATTGAAAGCGGCGAACGCTTCGCCGAACTTTGTACAAAACTTACTTTTCATAGCATCACAATGGTTTTAAGGCGCTCTTGTAGTGCGATGTCTAAGTATGAAATATAAATCGACAGAATTAGTACTAAAGCGGGAAGATTTTAGAAATATATCGCACGTCCAACCCCAAATATGTCTAAGCGGGCAATTTAGCTATATATTACTAAATTACTATTACTCTATGGCTCACTAGCCGACCCAAACAGTTCGATTTTATTTTTTATTCATGATAAAAATAAAAACAAATTTGTAAAATGTGTTTTTAAACGTGACCTAAAATTAATAAGCCTTTTGTTTGGATGAAAGTTTTACATAGATTTCATTATGATAGAATAAATAGTATTCGTATTTCAGTTCTCACAAATCCTTGTCTTTGTTATGTTCAATTTTCATTAAATGTCTAGCTGTGCGACTTCGCCCGCATGTAATTTAGACTTAGGGTTTTAGCTTTTTTGCAAGGAACTCTAATTCTTTAACTAAAATAAAAGTAGTCTAAGTTACTGCTTATAACATCAGGTGCCTGCCAGTGAAAGTATCGTCTAAATCGGTCCAGGCTTTTAAGAGATTAACCGGAACAAACAGACAGACAGACATACAAAATTTTTGGAATTGTGTCTTTGTTATAAGAACCGTATATACTTTCATCATTCATCGTGCATTTAGTAAAAACCTGTTATTTTGAATTTTTTTAATTTTTTTTTTATTTTTTTAAAGAATATTAACAATGCTATAAACATTAATAATATTCCCCTTAACCACTCGTGGTAAGCTTAAATTACTTGTGTTACGAGTGGTTCACGCCAGTAGTCGAATGGCGGATTCGAACCCACGACATTACAAACAGAGACCCGAATTTTATGTATTTGTATAAATTTTGTGACAATTACATTTAAGTAGAACAGAGGTTAATGTTAAAAATGTTAAAACGTACTGCAATGTGGCCTCAATTCTCTTCCTAGTTTTATAAACACTTCAATTATAGTTTTCATTATTCGTGTAAATTATACTTGACGGCTGTTTATTATGTGATCTCTCGTCCAAATCCCGGGTCGGATCGAAATCAGTTCTTACATATTTCTGTCAAGAGTTTTCAGTAGCAGTCCGGAGTAAGAAAGTTGGCGGTGCTAGACGCCCGTGCCTTGGAATGCATTGCAGATTTCTATTGCAACGAACTAAGAGAGTAAAGGAATAAAGACTGCACCTGTACTTGTGTGTGCAAGTACCATACACGCACTAGTCTATCTGGTATCTAGTCCTGGGCAGGTGACAAGTCTCCGTTAAGACTGGCCGCCGTAACTGAAATTTGGTCCGACATTACTTTCCATTACTGCATATTATTATAATATTTATCTTTATATAAAGATTACAATTTCTTTATTTGTGTAGCGGCGCTGTCGTCGCGCCACAAGCGAAATACACCGAAGCCTAAATCACGCTATCAACATTCCGAATCATAGACAGATTATATAGAACTTCTCCGAACTATCACTCGGAGTGTCGGCCGCTCCCCAGGCAGAACACCTTGCCTGGCGGGAGATCTCTCCTTTTCCTTCCTCACCGGCCACAGTGGTGACTAACCGACGTGATCTGAACACGCAACCAAACAACCTTCGGAAACTTCAAGCTTCATCATCGTTATAGAATAACCGCACCCATTCGCTCCCGAACAGATATCGTCTGCAATCTTCATATCCTGCAAGCCATCTAGCTTCACAAGGTTCATCGCAGCACTGGAATAATAATGCTTCCTGTTCCTTCAAGCTACTCTCTGCGCTATACAATGTTCGGCACGGCTCTGAGCCTTACTGCTCGCCTCTGCTTCACGGCACTCTCGCAGATTACTTGCCTTCTTCTCGACTCACCGCAGACTACAAGGCAATCCACTGGCACTTGCACATTCGTCGACAACGAGACTGCACTATCGACCTCCGGTCTGAGCAGGGGGGTGATGTAGCGGCGCTGTCGTCGCGCCACAAGCGAAATACACCGAAGCCTAAATCACGCTATCAACATTCCGAATCATAGACAGATTATATAGAACTTCTCCGAACTATCACTCGGAGTGTCGGCCGCTCCCCAGGCAGAACACCTTGCCTGGCGGGAGATCTCCCCTTTTCCTTCCTCACCGACCACATTTGACTACAATTTTTATACAATAATTGTATAACTTATTTCATTGTAAAATTCTTTTCTACTGACTTTCTTGTTCTTAGTTCTCCCCAGGTAGCAGGTTTTTGAACTAATGGCGAAAGTAAAAAATTACTTTCAACAATTATCTTTTATTACAACAAAATCCCAGAAAATATACAAGGTTTCTCTATTACCAAGTTTAAATATTTAATTAAACAAAAACTCTATAAAAAGGGTTATTATAATATAATTTAACACATGGTTGATAACAACCTCTGGGAATGAGGTGGTCGCTTTCAAGCTGTTTCTAAAATAAATTTTGTAAAGATTTTGTAACCATTCACATTGTACAATTTATTTTAAAAAAAAAAAAAGTCCCGCTGGATTTCTTGCTGGTTCTTCTCAGGACAGAAGTTTTTTCGGACCAGTGGTGGACAAGTAAAAAAATTACTTTCAATAGGAACTACATGCTATCTATATTGAATAAAGAATTATTTTATTCAAGAGTTTTATAATAT